TATATAATGATTTTGTGTATTTTGTTATATAAGATATATTGTTTTATCAATTATTGATCAATTTCATTAAAGGCCACGTTCACAATCGGTTAAAACAGAAGCTTCCACATATGTTTTCATCTGAATTAATCGTCATTTAATGCGTTTCTTATGGCATCGTGCTGTTATTACGATCCGCACGTGGTGATATTATATGAAATAAGCAAAATTATTGCCAAGACTAACTTTACTAGGGCGTTTTATGTTCATGTTGCAATTAATATGTCTCATCATAATTATAATCAGTCAAAATTATTATGTCAGACATTTGGAATGATAGGAGTAATAAGAGTCCATTAATATATCAAATCACCAAAACAAATAATGTGTTGAGTAATAAAAGTAAGTGAATGTATTTTGTTTGATACATTATAGATTTCAATCCCATTTTCTAAATAATACCAACTTAGGTACCCACTAAAATTTTGATTGTGTATTTGCGACATCAATTTTATAAACATTGTTTATGTTATATAGGCATTAGTAATAAAATCCGAAATTGTCTGATTTTATTTCACAATAAACTATTTTATGTTTTTTATCGTTGGAATTTTCCACGAGTTGTGTGATAAATATTTGGTTTACTGATTTTCAATTATTTTGTCAGTGTAAAAAATTTTTGTCGTACGATTTGTGAAAATCTGAATACTTATAAAATAGCCTTTGATAAGCTGATATTAAAAAGTAAATTTAACTATATAATTGAGTGAAATGTATCAAGGCATTTATATACAATACTAGTAAATTTTGTTATTAATACACTATGCTAATAAATTATCATATTTTAAATTTGAGTGGCTAGTTCAGAGTCTTTAGAAATTCTGATTTTTTTGTGCTTAAAAAATAATATTTTTTTAATTAGTAATTAAATTAAATTTCAGTACACAAAAATCAATTTTGACTTTTAGCAATTACACAGTGAGATACCTTCATGACAAATAATGTAAATACAACTTCTGTTTGAAGCGCATATTTTATGGGCATATTTTCACACTGGATTCAATCTTTGTATTGAACTTTGCCAGAGGAATTAATCATCAGTGTTGGAATAACTACTAATTTATAAAATCATTTTTTTTAACTAATTTTACATTTTTATTTACTATTTTCTTGCTGTTTATACCTCGCCAATATAAAAGTTTAAATAATTCTTTCTACCCCAAATCACCCCAATCACAGGTAAACTATTCTAGAGGTTATATGGAAAAACTGTTGAATCTGACATAAAAATAACAATATATTTTATGAAAAAATTAAATAACATATACTAAATAATTATATTCAGGTATCGTAAACGCAACGGACGCGTGCTTTAAAACGTAAAGACTATAAACGAAAAAAAATACTTTTGTTACAAAATTGGAAATGTGGCCGTATATCTTGTAGTAGCTCAGGCAATTTAAGGCTATGTCTAGTTACACATATTTTGCTCTTTACTTTCAAATATTGTTAATAATTCCTAACTTTACTTGTTTTTTAGATAGTTGGAGTGGTTCTATACCTCTATATTTTAAATAATTTTAGATATTAATATTAATGCAATGAGACATAAAAATAAGTATATGTAATCAGCAATATATATCTGCATATGTAATTTAAATAAATCTTATCAAAAATAATAAACTATGTTTCATTCGGGTATTGATCGGTCCTTTCATATCGTGTCATAAATTTGTAAACCGCCATATATTTTATTATAAATATTATGAACGCTATATAAACTTCCAATTTAATCATCTATATAAAAGGTTCAGATATATAGTCGAACTCGTACCAGATAATTATCGCAGTATGTATGGTACCGTGACCTAGTTAAACTAGCGAACTTCGTTACTTCCACATAGCGTTTACTCCGGGCGCAGAGATAACTTTGCCTTTCTGAAAGTCAAGAGTTGAACTTTTATATTACAAAGCATTAGACGGCGATTCATTTATTTTTCGTGTTACTTTCAACTTTATTATTATTATTATTATAATTAAACCAATAGTAAGTTTTGAACTTTATCCTCAATTCCGCCGACGTAAAGCTTCAACCAGCTTGACGTTTCCACATGATACAGTGCCAGTCATCAAACTGTCGAGCGAATGTCTGCAGAGTTAATTAATATTTGTAATTGATGCAGTTTTAGTATTGGTTTGTAGAAATTCCTAGTTTGAAATTATAAACAGTGCTTAGTGGTAAAGCGCTTTCAGAAACAAAATGCAGATCTTAATTATGATATCGTTGTCATTTATTTCAATACCAGTCGTCCGCGAAACTATGAAATACAGATATTAATCAAATTTGTTAAATAAACAGCACGATGGAGTAGGCAAAGTATGCCAACGCTTGATTCCAGATAGTGCTTTTATAACAAATCATCTAAAAATAATATTTAGATATAAATATATTTTAAGTTAATTTTTAAATGAAGAAGAAAGCCTTATCTTTATATTGCACACAAATTTCAATTACCTACAGTAGTAACTCATTTTCAAGCGAATTCACTTACTTAATCTATTTTAATCTAATTTTTCACTTAGAAATGAGTTTTCCTATTTCGATATGCATATATGATTTTTCATTAAATATTAATATAGTTCAAAAAATCATGTAACAATTGGTGACATGCCTGGACTCATTATTCATTCCAATTCAAATTCAAAATGACTCATGACGGCATTAATCATGATTACAAATACATATATCGCAATATAGCGTACAAATCATTTTAATAATGATTGATATTTTGAGTTTTTCAATAAATTATTCAAATTAATAATATTCTCAAAGACTAACTGACAAAAAGCGTATTGTCGTGATAAACATAAGATTTTTTTATTCAAATTTAATTACGTACTCCTCAGATAAATAACATAAAAGTCCAACTTCTGTTCGAACTTATTTTTAATTTTGTAATAATATATCACTTCGACACGGCCGAGCATGAATCTTTACCAAAGAGCTTCTCGTTTTCCATCAATCACAGTAAATAACACCCTCGGTTTATATTCAGCACTTTGCGTTGCCGAAGTCCCGCGCACCAGGCAACTTTTTGCAAAATACTACACAGTTGTGTCATTGTAGGAGTGAGATATTTGCTTTTTCAGATATTTGTGGTTCAATGATCTGTCATAATGATTTATAATGGATTGTTATATATTGACACGTATCCTATCAATATTTGTCACTCAATTTTAATATAATGAGTGCAGAACAAAAAAAGTAGACATCAAAAATCAAGATAATGGATTGGATTGAAAACTGAGATTAAAACACAAAAAAAATAACTCATCGCAATCAAGTGTGTTCTCATTGTTTTTGACTAGCATTATGTATAGAGGAGATGAAGCTATGCCATCTTGCAAACTATATTGAGCATCACGCTGATGACAGTTTGTAAACTTACGACAAACTTTTATATGAGTTCTTAGTACATATGAGCTCGTTATTACCATATGTAAACTAAAACTTTAAGCGTGACGGCATTAAAAATGGAATAGTACATAGAGAATACAATATCTACAATATAATGATATTGTAACCAGCCTCAACCATTTTTACACGCCTTTGGGTCATTGTCTACCAGTAACATTATTAAGTAGGCACTATAATAACATATTTCAAAGAAAAATACAAATAATTACAAAAACTATTTTGTCTATATAGTACAGACAAAATGACATAAAGAGTAAAGACTTACTGAGATGCTAAATTTTAAAAAGGCAAGGAAGCAGTAAATTGTTTGGGACTTTTTGCGACATCAGCACATGAAGCATGAGCCTGAAGGAAACAAGACATTCATCGTAACCAACCTTCGTCAGGCTCAGAACAGAAAAAGAGGTCTTTGCCATAAATGCAAGTTTCTTCTATTTACCGGTAGATCCTTTTCTCTTTAAAATAGAGTAAGGATTAAAAGCCAATCGAAACTTTTGACAGGTTTCTGAAATGGGCTCGCTCGTAGGTAAGCGGTTAAGAGCGACGGGACTTGTTTCGGAGGTCCCGGGTTCGATACCCACTTCAAACAGCCTGTTGTCAGGCAGCAGTGACAACGATTTTCACTTGGAAATATAGATAGTAATATGTTTCCAAGTGAAAATAGTCCTTGCCCGGCATTGCTGCACCAATAAAAAGTCAGCCCTATTAGATTAATTCTAATACCAAAAATCATCAACCATTGAGTTACCATCTAAGAATACGAAGTAAGGAGAAGTTTCAGCCCAACAGCTCATAGGACGTAAGGTTCTGATTGCTGTTATAAAAATATAATAATAATATAAAAAAAAAGGTTTCTAAATTATTTTTCCTTGACCTTGAATGAACTGCTCTGTCATGCTTGCGAGATAGTATTATGTCATTTTTCCTATTGTATAAGTATGTCATTATGTTTGGAAAGAACATAATTCAAACCATATAGTCACTCAGCTTCTTGAGACATCAACTTCAAGAAGACTGAAGAAGAAGCTGCCCGAAGATAATATGGAGGAATCTTAGAACTACCACAACCTTATGAACAGAATAATTGAATCATTTATTGAAGTGATTCTCTAAATATGATTGTAATATTGATCCGATAAATTTATATGTGTGTTTGAAAGTGTGTGTGTATGTGTGTGAGTGAATGACATAAGCCAAATAGCTCATAGAATGGTCATGTATTCTGATTGCTATTGATAATAAAAAATTTAAAAAAAATGTTTGGAAAGTGAACTAAAATGAATGAATGATAAATTAAGACTAATAATAAAATAAGACTTATTTTAAAAATTGTATGGCATTGGTAGATGATTACAGCATGAAATATTATCATATTTGTAGTTATATAATTAAAGTTTTTAATAAATTCAATTGCATATTATTCACTATCATGAAAATAAATTTTTAATATGTTATATAATTCTTAGACCTTTATCAGTTTATATATATTTTTGTCAAATTGTTATTCTATGTAATCTGATTCCCTTTCTGCGATATTTTCCAGCACGGCAATGCTGCGACATCAAGCGAAGCTAGTGTGGGCACAGCGCCCGGCGGCAGCGTTACTTCGAGGGCGCCTAGCGACTCGCGAGGCTCGGCCAGCGCCACCGTCAGCGGTAGTGCGGCCGGTGGACCGCATTCTGCGCATACGGGCGCCAAATTCCGACATGGACTGCTGCAGCTCATGATACATACAATCGATCCACTTCACGACGGTGAGTTTAAACGATCAATTGAATATTTGTAATAGCACCCTAAAATAGGGAGTAATCAAAAATTTAATTAAAATTTTTATGATACCTGCCGATATTAGTTTATGACTGTGTGGCAATTGATATATTATACGTAAATTGAATATTGTTTAATATTCTGAATTTATAAAGTGTAAAATATGCGTCGATAAAAGCTTCAAAATAATAAAGTTGTAAAACAGCGTTAAATTAAAATAATGTTTACTTCATATACATATATATGATACTTCATATCATATTTCTGCGGATCCTCGTCATCCTTAAAGAATATAATCAGATTAAAAAAACAGCGTTAAGAATAATTTTTTCCCTTAGTTCTCTCTCCACATGTAGAATTTATTTCGCCAACAGTTTAACATTCTCACTGTTTCTTGTACATTTTTGCTAATCACGTTGTCATTCATAAAGAATAATAAAGAACGCTTCAGTTTATCTATCATGCCGAATTCTTATCATATCATGATTACAATTACGAATTCCTATCATATTATTGTTACCAGAACTATTACTACAAAGGGATCAACTTGCAAACTTGCAACTTCTTTCGATATCATAGACGGCCTAAAAGTATAGCTTTTTAATCTACTTTCACCACAGATTCGGTAATTGACTAATCGTCAATTTCACAGCACCAACTTTACAACTATAAAAACCCAGTTTCCACGATATTTTTGAATTTGCCAGTTTTGATATTATTATTTTGCTAATGAAATGCCCCCAACAATAATAATAGTTTCAATTATTTACTCTTATATAGTTTTTTCTGTGGTTTGAAAATTATTGAATGTATTATTATTAGATACTTTGCTGTCACACTTAGCGAAATCAGGTCATGCAGTAAATATTACAATGGACATTATTTTTCGAATTGCTTTCCAATGAATCAATTTATATATATATATATATATATAATATATATATATATATTAGGGTGGTCCTTAAAATGGTCATTTTCGAATTGCCTTACTCCCAGGAGCTCAAATGGTTCCAAATAGATAAAAAACAATTCTCTGAAAGTTTTAGCTCTTAATATTAACGTTTAGATAGAGCGCAATTCAATCAAAGTTTTGTATGGAAATGGCATGAAAAGATTTTCAAAAGTTTTAAAAATGTTTTTTAGATGTAATTTAGCGAACAAATGAATGAATAAAACTTTTATATAAAATTGAGAAGCAAAAATTATTTACCTGTAATAATTTTTATATCAATATCACTAATATTTTTTGTTAAAAACACTCGATTTTTTTGGAAGATATTTGTTGATGTTACGACTACACAAGACTTAAACACACTGTTATGGAGTTCTGTCGGCCAGATGTAAAGGACAATGTACGGAATTCCTGGAAAAAATGATTTTTTATGGCTCTTGTATTGGTAATTTACGAAAAAAGAGTCTTGTGTAGTCGTAACATCAACAAATATCTTTCAAAAAATCGAGTGTTTTTAACAAAAAATATTAGTGATATGGATATATAAATTATTACAGGTAAATAATTTTTGCTTCTCAATTTTATATAAAACCTTTTTTAGTTAATTCTTATTACTCTTTACCCCGGTACATAATCCATTCCTTTATAAATTTTTTTTCTAATTAATCTGTATTGACCATCATTAATTAATGTTAATCAATATTTTTAAAAAAACATTGTATTTGACAGAATAAACCTGATGATGGAACGTACCTAGTTCCGAAACGTCGTATTAAACATCTTCAAAAAACAAATTGTTTTTCATTATTGGATTTACTGTTCGGAAAAGAAACAATCAATATATATATATATATATATATATATATATAAATATTTCGATGTACACCATTAAAGAGCATTTATATTTTCGAATTAATTTTGCGCGCATGATTTTAATATGAAATATACAGAAATACTAATATATCATCATAATGAAATATCATTCTAATTTCATCTTATATATCCCACATCCTCCCCCAAGAAACGATCGATATACTCTCACTTCAGCTTTACGGTTTATCTCTGCAACAATGCAGGAATATTTGAATACGAATGAAAATTTAGTGCAGCCGCAATGGACGTTTGTTGCAAGTGAAATATGCATTCGTTCAAATCCCGCTTCACTCCACGTAATGGTGCTTATAAATTGAGTCTCGGACAACGTACACAACTCGTGGGCCGGCTAGTCGTACAATATGAAAGGAGCAATTGCATATCAACACGCAATCTGACATTAAATGCCGGCTTAAACGCGTATAGCCCTGACTTATTAAGGGCAAAACTACGCGCAAGTGATTTTCGAGACTACCGAGTTGTTTAATACAGACTAATATTTTTATAGTTTCATTTCATTTTTAAAATAATAAGTATATAAATGTTGGTAAGCTGTTTATTTATTTTTCAACTTCTGAGCGTCTTTTCGCCATTTTCAAATAAAAAAGAGGTTGTATGTGAATATTTTAAGGAGTAAACGGAGTGGGACATTCCACAAATAAGGGCAATCTGAGATACGGTGAGAATATGATGAGTTTTTTACTAAATAATGTTTCCAAACTAGTATATACATTTTATTTATTTCTGTCGTTACTTGGAAGCAAAATATCTGATCTAGATCTAAAGTTGTTGTTTAACGTTTTTCGAAAACCCGCGAGTGGTGTTAAGGCGTTGATTTCTTTAATTATGTCCTCGTAGTTCACTCCCGTTTTATTCACTACACTTTACACAATACTTATGTGATCTCTGTATATAACGGTTGAATTCTAAACAACGATTGACATATATAATAAATTTATTTATTAAAATAATTCGAGAAATCCTCGCTAGTTTTTCAATATGTGTCTGGAATAGAAAAAAGCTTACAAATTTGAAATTATTATATTTACATACACAATGTAAGATTTACCTTTAATTAAGGTGACCATACGTCGCGGATTGGCTGGGACAGTCCCGATTTCCCGCCGTGAGTCCCGGCTCTTTCTAAAAGCAATATTTGACCTGGTTTTAGGTGTTTTGTCTCGGATTGTCCCGGATTTTTTAAATTGTTTTGATTGCCAATATTTTTTTAAATATGTTTTAACTAGAAAATTTGAACTGAAAAAATGTGCATATAAGTTTTTAAGCTCACCAACACTCTCCCATCCGCTCTCACTAACATTCTAATCCGTCCCGGATTTCATGCAATAAAATATGGTCTCGTTTATAATTCATATTAATACACATGTCAGCAATAAACATTGAACAGTTTCTTGTAAGAGTAAATGGATTTATAACCAAGATAAGTATATGTAATAATCAGTATCTTTTTGTATTGAATGAAACAAAACATAATAAGAAAAGAATTGAAACATAAAAAATTACTTAGACTATTGTAGAAATAAATTATATGCACCTACATCCGGCGCCTACTTGAAACAAATAATATAGTAACTATAAAAATATTTAAAACAAATTTTCAACAAAAATAATAATAAAAGATTAAAAAGAATTGTGAGCCAAGCACCATATAGTCCAAGAGCCCGTGGGCGGATGACAGTATGTATTTTACGACACCTGAGATTTTGTGCATCGATTCCTCTATACCTATCCTACATGAAATGAGGACTGACTAAGCCCAAAGTGGCGGACACAGCTACTGCGCAGCTGGTAAAGGTACCTTTTTTTCGCCCTTATCCGAACCATTTTACGACGGTTGCCGTTTCGAAAATTTGAAAGTATAATATTATTACTATCGTAAAATACCAATGGCAGACGATTATCGCGCGGTTAACATGGTGGCAGACGATTTTGAAAATGCAGAAAAAAAATTTTTTTGAATGTATTTTACGATGTCTGCCATTTACATATTTTATTTCTTATAGTATCAAAACCTTATATTTATCACGGCAGACGTGTACCTGGTGGACCAACATCAGCAGAGTTAAAAAACTCAGCTACCATTTGGCCTGATAGTATGCATAAATCTCCATGTTTTATACCGATATAAGCAATTCTTTCATAATGATAATAGAAATTAATATTTGTTAGTTTATATGTGACATTTAATAATGTTGATGAGCGGAAAAAAGATTTTTTACGCTAAATTCGTAAAGATTAAAGTATACAAACGATAACAACAATTATTGTAATATTTATTCTATTTTTTTATTTATTTTAGTCTAATTTCAAAATATTGTATAAAAATAAAGTTATACAATATTATATATATATATATATATATATATATATATACTTTATTTATTATAATCTCGGAGCCATATTTCGCTTTTGATGATTCCTCATCATACGCTGAATCAGATTCTATAAAATAATAAATCAGATGTAAAATAAAAATTATTTGAAAATCCAACTGAAGATGTTTGATAAAGACGAGATTCTCCGACCATACTTGATGGGGTTGAAAATAACCAGAGATATATTAACATCACGAAGCGAACTGGTTAGTTGTTTGCCAGAATTTCAATTTGTTGTCATGCTTTACTGGTTCTGATTTCAATCCAGCCTTCTTTAACAAAAAAAAGACCTTACAATTCTCTGAAAAAAATCGATCTTCAACAAATGTTTGCTACACTTAACAAAAAACCCACATACAATATCTTTTTAATACTATTCAGCTTAATTTTTTAAGTATGGTCGGAGAATCTCGTCTTTATCAAACATCTTCAGTTGGATTTTCAAATAATTTTTATTTTACATCTGATTTATTATTTTATAGAATCTGATTCAGCGGATGATGAGGAATCATCAAAAGCGAAATATGGCTCCGAGATTATAATAAATAAAGAAAGTATATATATATATATATATATATATATATATATATATAATATTGTATAACTTTATTTTTATACAATATTTTGAAATTAGACTAAAATAAATAAAAAAATAGAATAAATATTACAATAATTGTTGTTATCGTTTGTATACTTTAATCTTTACGAATTTAGCGTAAAAAATCTTTTTTTCGCTCATCAACATTATTAAATGTCACATATAAAC